ATGTGCTGCAAAATATCTGCAATTTAGATCATTAAAGTGATTATTGTCATAGATAGTGGATAAGAGGTTAAGTTCAGGGTCTATACTTGACTGCATAAAAAAAGCTGATTGTAGAATCAGAAATAAGTAGAAAAAAGCTATAAAATAGGGAAAAATATATACACAATACTGTACAAAACAAACACAAAGGGGCTTACAGGGGTACAATGGAGTAAGGGAGTATGGCTAGGCTAGGCAACCTAGGCAATTAATGAGATTAAAGAAAAAACATGTAAACATGGACTATACAAAACACAAGATATGGAAATACAAAACAAAAAATATAAGCAAGACTAAGCAATACAAAAAAAAAACAAATTGAGCAAAAATGAGGTAGATTGCTTACGAGTACTCACAGGTACACTGTAAGTAACAATTTGCAATTTGAGATGCAGGCAAAGCCAGGGGTACAATGGAGTAAGGGAGCATGGCAAGGCTAGGCAACCTAGGTAATAAATGGAATCAAAGAAATGTTGAATAATAAACATAGGCAAATTTAAGCTAATGATTAATAACTATAGATAGTTCAGTAATGACTGTATAATTAAAAAGACCTGAAGAACTACTTAATAACTCAATTAAATAATTTCGGTAAATGACTAGGTAAGAGTAAGCTAAAAATTAAGTCAGAAAATGAACCAAGGAGACTTAGGATACCTAGCCCCACTAGTTGACAGGGGGTTAATTAAGTTAATTCATTGGGAGTGATAAGGTGAGACAAACCACATTGGGAGAGGAAAGTGTTGAGGTTTTCTTCTCTAGTAATAGTAAACATTTTGCCCTCTGCGGTTTTTCTCACCTTTATCAGACCATCTCTAACGAAGCACTGATGAATAGCATCTGGGTTTTGTTGCCGGATTTGACGCAGGCGGTAGAGGATTTGCTGTCTGTTCCTGGTCAAGCACTCGTTGATGTATAATCCCTTCCGTAGGGATGCAGCTGTCCGGACTAGATTGGATTTCGTGAACTGGGAAGACAGCTTCAGGCGAATTTTCCGTTGATTTAGACCTGATGGATTCTTTTTGCCTACTCTGTAGGCAGCAATAACGTCAGTTTTGTTTAGATTGAGCTGCAATTTGTTTTTTAAGAGATCCTGAGCTATTTCGAAACAATTTTCACCTTCATGTTCCACAGGTATATCTTGGGACGACACGATAACAGAGTCTAGCAGCTTTTGCTGGTCTTGTTCCTCCTGGGAGACGGAACGTTGAGCTGAAAATGTACTGATACATGCAGTCATTTTGCTGAGAGCTTCCTCCTGCTTTTTTAAGGCTTCATCAGTTTTCCGAAGGTTGTTTTCCTCATGGAGATCATTCAAATCATGCTGTAGTTGGTCTTGGCTAGCCTTGTAGTTTCTAATATCCTCGCGGAGGAGGGTTATTTCTTGTTGTTGTTGTTGGAGATTAGCGCGGTTCACTAGATTCTCGTTGAGAAGACTCAAGATGATAGAATTTTGTGACTCGAGGACTAGGCACAACTTTTTGAACCACAGATTCTCGGTCCAGTTAGTGAATTCCGGTGAGGGACCGGAAGCTCGCTTGAGTTGATTATACTGGGATGCTAGCATGTTCATAGGAGAGGGTTGAGAGGACTCTGCTCCTTTGCTCAATGGGGTGGAGGGGAGGGCAGCCCCGCCACCCCGGACCCCAGAGCTTCCAGACGGAGAAACACGGATATTGTTAGAGTTGGCCGGGATGGATGTCTTGTTAAGGAGTTTGTTGCCCTTATTTCCCTGCACAGTCACATTTTTAGGAGACATGATTGGTTAGAATGGACTGAGGGGTATATGTTGAGAAGAAACTTGCGTCAGGCAGCGCGGTGGCGGCAGCATGCACTGGTACTCACACCGTAGAGGATTGTTTTGAAACTTATTTGAGATGGAATGAGTTGATTTTGGTCGGTTACTTTGGTTTTGCTATAACATGCTTGGACTCCATGTACTTAGCTGCCTGTGGGTGGTGGTCTACATCATCTGGCGTAAGTTTAAGGGCTGATATACAGCTTATAGTGAGGAGCGTAGCGTGCGTAACGTCCTCCCTCGATCAGAGTTGTTGTGTTATGTGTGTAATAATAATAATAATAATGTAATAATAATAATAATATTATTTTATTCAGGAAAAGTACATACTGTACATAGATGCAGAGTTACAAACATTCTGTTGGATTTATAGATGGAGCTAGTACATACAATACCTAAAACCACTAATACGCATAGCGTTTCGGGCAAGGGTGTGGGGGGGGGGGGGAAACACTTAGACTAAAACTTAATAGTAATTGGGAGTAAAGTATAAATTGTGTTGAAAAAAAGATTAAAAAAAGAAAAAAAAAATGGGGAACATGGCAAAAATCAGCAATTGTACAAGATGGTCAACAAACAGCATTGTTTAGAATAGCAAGACATGGGTTGGCATTTAGGGGGTAAGGTAGGTTACATGGAGTTAATTAGGTAGTACTTAGTTCTACTCTTAAACTGGTTGAGCGAGATACAGCCTTTGGCATGATTAGGAAAGTCATTCCACATTCTGGGTCCCTTGAGTTGTGGAGCATTTCTATTTTGGTTAAGTCTCACTCTTGAAATGTCAAGTAGGTATTTGTTTCCGGTGTGATGCCCATGGGTTCTGTTACAACCTTCTAGGAAACTTTTTAAGGTCAGGATTGACATTGCAGTTCAGAGTTTTAAATATATAAAGTAGGCTAGATATATATATATATATAGAACCCCATTTGGGGCAGCAGCATTTGGTATATATATATAGGTAGGCTAGAACTCCAATCAAATTGAATGATGACATGGTTTAATACATACATAGCCTGCTATAGCTCCGGGGATCCTCTGGGACTCGCCCAGAAAATAGCATTTCATTACATTCAACGCTTGAATTTTTTTTTTTTTTATCGCAACACCATTTGGGGTTCTTGGCATTTTGATTCACCTGACTCCTTTTTCTTGAATCCATGTTCTTTTCTTATGTTTTCCTCAGTTGTAGCCACATGTGCACTATCGTTTTTAGTGCCCAACATTGTTGCATCTTGCTTCCCAGGGTTGTAGTTTTATGCCTGCCTCCTTCCCTGGTAAGTTCTCCTTTCTGTTTGGTTTACCATGGTGAGATAACAGCAGGGAGCCACCTTGGATCCCTCCCAGAAAACCAGTGTTGAATATAATGAAATGCCTCTTTAAAATGGCTCCTTGGATCCTCCCTTTTGCCTTCAAAGTAAGTCAGTTTTCCTTTTGGGCGGCTCTTGACTGATGTCTTGCTGACTGATCCATGAGTTCCTACTGCTGAGACCTGGTGGTTGGCAGTTGGACCGAGAGGGTAACCCTGGAAACACAAACCGAAACTGTCTCTATTTTCTGCTTGTTACAACTTGTAATAAAGTTGTTACATCTTGGCTTAACGTGTTTATGACGTATTAGAACGTTGTTATAACTTGCTATATTGGTTGTTATAACGGGTTAGGTGTTGTTAAAACTTGTTCGAACGTTGTACCAACGTCGTAGTTTCGGTGTGTGTTTGACGGGAAATGACCTAACTGCCTTTGTAGGTTGTTTGCTAAGTTGCTGACTTACCTTGTAGTTGTTTGTTGGTTTTCTCCCTACTTTTCTGGTGGCTGCTATTGTGGCAAGGCTGTGTACAAATCCCCTACTCCATGCACCTCTGTAAGGAAAGGCCAGGTTTTGACCTCCAGTCCCCAGTAGGAATTTTATCACAACCTGTCCTCCTTAAAAAGAATGTCATATTTCACTCGTATGCATTACATAAGGTAAAAAATTGTCATACTAGAAAATGGAAGCGGCTGGCGAAAGTGACGTACTGTCCCATTTTCTGTTTTGGGTCCTCTGGTAGGTTAGGAGAGGACACTTTAAATTGACCGTTTTCTTGACGTTGGGAAACCTTAGAAGGGCTGGCTGTTAATTGTCTCATAAGGGCTTGGTGTGAGGAGATAGGTGAGGAGCTAACCAAGTGGCTAGCAAATGGCAGGCACCTTGTACCCCCCATCAAGAGGCATTTTATTACAATCAATTCCTTTTTCTCAGTGCATGGGTGATGTGACAATTTTAACGATAATTGCTCTTTGAGGGTTAATATGGTAACACTAGACAGTATATTATGAAAAGCATTGATCTCTTAAATTACAGTGGTGCCTTCGTTTACGAATTTATTCCATTCCCAGAGACAGCTCGTAACCCCAAAATTCATAACCCGAAACAAATTTTCCCATAAGAAATAATGTAAATTAAATTAATCCGTTCCACACTCTCAAAAATATTAGCTTCAAAATCCATTTCATACATAATATACACAAGTATTTCATACTATAGTATGTACTAGTTATAGCTTACTTTTATTGATGACTCTTGTTGGTGTATGGAAGATGGTGAGGAAGGGGGGGGGGGAGGAGGAGAGGTGTTAGTGTTTGGAAGGAGGAGTCCCCTTCCATTATTACATCAGGCAGTCATGACTTCTTTGGGGTACACTCTCTCTTCTACGTTTTGCAGGCATACCAATAGGACCTGGTCGTGGCTCACTGCTTGTTTGTCTCACTAAGAACCTTTCCATAGAGGCTTGTTTTCCTCTTTGGTCATCCTCACATGTGTTTTCATAGGTTGAACCTTACCATGGACTTTCTTGGGACCCATGTCATGGTATATAATAATTACTTTTATGCTTAGAAACTAAAAAAAACTGAATTTTTTTTAATTCTTTACAAAGAATTCAAGCGATCGTCACTACGCGGGAGGCACTGTTAAACTGATGTACGGTCACCCGTTCCACCAGGAACCATATGCTCGGTCAACCCATACATGTATTAACAAACTCGCAACTCAAAGCAATGCTCATAAACCGAATCTAATTTTATGAAGAAATTCAGCTCGAAACCCAAACAATTTGTAAATAAGGGCATTCGTAAGCCGAAGTTCCATTGTACTGTACTTTGTTTTGTAAGAATTTTAATTTCAGGCAATGATGACCTGTTCCAAGGATTGGTATGGTCCCAAACATGGACGGAGCCTTTGGTTAAAAAGTGGCAAGAGGAACATTCATCTTCTGATATCATTGGCAGAGTTGTCTTCACCAGATTTGGACTAACAAGATTTTATCCTGAAAGGTATCTACACAAATTTGTCCTTTTTCACAACCTTTTTCCTTTTTCACAACCTTTTTCCTTTTTCACAACCTTTTTCCTTTTTCACAACCTTTTTCCTTTTTTACAACCTTTTTCCTTTTTCACAACCTTTTTCCTTTTTCACAACCTTTTTCCTTTTTCACAACCTTTTTCCTTTTTTACAACCTTTTTCCTTTTTCACAACCTTTTTCCTTTTTCACAACCTTTTTCCTTTTTCACAACCTTTTTCCTTTTTCACAACCTTTTTCCTTTTTCACAACCTTTTTCCTTTTTTACAACCTTTTCCTTTTTCACAACCTTTTTCCTTTTTCACAACCTTTTTCCTTTTTCACAACCTTTTCCTTTTTCACAACCTTTTTCCTTTTTCACAACCTTTTCCTTTTTCACAACCTTTTTCCTTTTTCACAACCTTTTTCCTTTTTCACAACCTTTTTCCTTTTTCACAACCTTTTTCCTTTTTCACAACCTTTTTCCTTTTTTACAACCTTTTTCCTTTTTCACAACCTTTTTCCTTTTTCACAACCTTTTTCCTTTTTCACAACCTTTTTCCTTTTTCACAACCTTTTTCCTTTTTCACAACCTTTTTCCTTTTTCTTCACAATAAAATGACTGGAAATTTTTATATTACATTTTTTAATATATGTAATCATAAATAATTTGCCATTATAAGATCTTTATAAATTAACCCCTGCATTGAACCCTTATTTATAGTTGATAGCTTCACTGTGCACAATAAAAAAGTCAAGATTTTTTCTTTCTAATATTGTTAAAATCTATTCCCTAATCACAAGAAAAAAAAAAATATTACTTACCATGTCTATAAACAAACCGAGAAATCTCACGATGATGTCACGTACAATTCATGCTTACTCCTGTAGTGAGCATTCTGGCAGCATTGTGTGGGCCATTCAGTTTTCAGATGTATTCCTGAAGTTTCATCAATATATGCACTCACTCAATATGTACATGTTTATGTTATAGTCCATGACACAGTTTGGTTTATATTCTGGTTCTTTGGTTGCTTTGCTGACCTTGGGTCAGATTCACGAAAGCACTTACGCAAGCACTTACGAACGTGTACATCTTTCCTCAATCTTTGACGGCTTTGGTTACATTTATTAAACAGTTTACAAGCATGAAAACTTCGCATTCAACTGTTGATATTGTTATAAACAGCCTCCTGGTGCTTCCGAGCTCATTAACTGTTTAATAATTGTAAACAAAGTCGCCAAAGATTGAGAAAAGATGTACAGGTTCGTAAGAGTTTGCGTAAGTGCTTTCGTGAATCTGGCCCCTTGCCACTGTTAACCATCCTACCAGTAATTACCTAAGTGTAGTTACTGGGTGAGAGCTATGCTCGTGGTGTTGTGTCGTCCCAGTACTCTTTGTCATATAACGCTTTAAGATTACTGACAGTTTTGGCATCCACCACATTCTCACCCAAATTATTCCAACCAGAGCCGGGAGCCGGTCGGCCGAGCGGACAGCACGCTGGACTTGTGATCCTGTGGTCCCGGGTTCGATCCCGGGCGCCGGCGAGAAACAATGGGCAGAGTTTCTTTCACTCTATGCCCCTGATACCTAGCAGTAAAATAGGTACCTGGGTGTTAGTCAGCTATCACGGGCTGCTTCCTGGGGGTGGAGGCCTGGTCAAGGACTGGGCCGCGAGGACACTAAAGCCCCGAAATCATCTCAAGATAACCTCAAGATAACCATCTACCATAGTTTACAAAAGTGAACTTTCTAAAAAGATTTTGGTAGCTTTGCTTCCATAGTTTAAATCTATGACCTCTTGTTCTTGAAGTTCCAGGTTTCAGGAATTGTTGATAAATTGTGTTGATTCTCATTACTATTTTGCTGGTAGTGATCATTTCACCTCTTCTCTCTTCCTTCTAGCTTTGGTATATTTAACACATCTAACCTCTCCTCGTAGCTCTTGTCTTTCAGTTCTGGAAGCCATGTTGTTACATGTTTTTGCACCATTTCGAGTTTGTTGATGTGCTTCTTGAGATATGGGCACCATACAGCTGCTCCATATTTCAATTTTGATCTCACAAAAGTTGTGAACAGTTTCTTTAGTATTTCACCATCGATGTATTTAAAAGCAATTCTGAATTTGGAAAGCGTAGCACATACTCCTCGCACAATATTCTTTATTTGCTCCTCTGGTGACATTCTACTATCCAGAACTACCCCCCTAGATCTCTTGCTTTATTAGAGTTCTTTAATTACTGTCCATATAATTTTTAGATTGTGCAGAGCTTATTTTATACTATTTTACATTCCATAACATGGCCTTTCTTCATGTTGAATTCCATCTGCCAAGTGTTGCTCTATACACTTATTTTGTCCAGGTCATCTTGATGGACATGACATTCATTTAAGTTTTCTACCTACCCTAGTAGCTTTGCATCATCATCAGGGAGCCGGTCGGCCGAGCAGACAGCACACTGGACTTGTGATCCTGTGGTCCCGGGTTCGATCCCGGGCGCTGGCGAGAAACAATGGGCAGAGTTTCTTTCACCCTATGCCCCTGATACCTAGCAGTAAAATAGGTACCTGGGTGTTAGTCAGCTGTCACGGGCTGCTTCCTGGGGGGTGGAGGCCTGGTCGAGGACCAGGCCGCAGGGACACTAAAGCCCCGAGATCATCTCAAGATAACCTCAAGAAACATTTTAATATACCTGTAATTCTGTATTCCCTCAGTTGGATCATTTATATAGTTTGTGTACCTGCATGTAAAAGATCAAGGTAAAATATACACTAGTTAATGTTTTCTTTAAATAGCCAAAAGCCCGGGGTGAGCAGGTGGCAGGATCCCTGGTACAACCCAGCACTGCGTAGAGGAGAGCTCAATAGGAAAGTCTCTGTCATACCTCATTCCCTTGGTGCTATTCTTTCTGCCCCAGTCATAGTAAAAAAGGATGGATCTGAAGTAATGGCTGCAGGTTAGTTATCTTGAGTTGTTTTTGTATAGAATTTGTTAGTTATTAGTAATCTTGAGTTACTTGCATACAAATACACAAGCTTTGCAAAAATCATTGGAGCAGGACAGGGATCGAAACTGCATCATGGGGTCACCCCAGATGCACACCCTGACCCATTGGACTATGATATGCTGTAAGTATATCATAGTAAGTAAGTAAGTATATAAGTATATGAAGATATGTGTAAGTATGTTGGGATTCATTTGAATTACATAATGCATATTATGGTCCAATGGGTTAGTTAACTTAAGGTATGTGTCTGGGGTGACCTATGATGCTGGTTCAGTCCCTGACCTGCTCCAATGATTTTCACATTGGAGCTATTTCACAGCCATGCTATTGTGATATGCCAACTGTTATATTGTGATATACAGTATAACAAACTTGTCGACCTGAATGGTTGTGATCTAAGGTTCCCAGACTGCAGACGAGATAGTTTAATTAACAATGTTGTTGCAGATTAGGTTAGTTATGTAGGAAGTTATGTTAGTGGAGTTCCAGTAAATGTAGTTAGAGAAAAGGGTTAAAAAAAACACCAAATTAATTAAAATTAGTTAAAGCATTGGAGGCGATGAGTCACAATAACATGGCTGAAGTAGTTTGACTAAACCACACACTAGAAGGTGAAGGGACGACGACGTTTTGGTCCGTCCTGGACCATTCTCAAGTCGATTGTGACTCGAGAATGGTCCAGGATGGACCGAAACATCATCGTCCCTTCACCTTCTAGTGTGTGGTCTGGTCAAACTAGATAAAGCATTGTATATAATGAAATTTTATTTTCTCATGGTTCCCCTCGTAGGTCTCTGACCATAGCTCTAGTGACCACTAATCTTCAGCTACACACCCCAGGCCTCTCGAGACCCATCCTGTGATATACCCAAAGCCAGGACCAGAATGGGGTGAGGGAAGCATGGGGGATCAGAGATCAACCCAAAATGAGAAAATCCCACCAGAAAGCATAGGTGACTGCTAGAAGAAAGTATGGCACCTGAATACCTGTTGTATCCTTGTAAATAATTCTGAGGACCAATGTCCCCATGGTCCGTCTCTAACCAGGGCTCCTGGTTGATGTTCCAATCAACCGGGCTGTTCGATGCTGCTGCTGCTCACAGCCTCAGAAACAAGAAAAGTGTGTTTCATGGTATTCAATGTTTGATTTCTGGGAGGGCCCCATTAATAGCTTCCTGAGTTTATTCGCAACAGCACCTCAGTGGAGGAGAATGGTCTTTCTGAATCGTGAAAGACAAACAGGGCTGACCCATGGGAACAAGATGGGGGTCTGGACAGAGAAGTAGGTGCCTCCTGCTAAACACCAAAGTACAGCACAAGAGCAATGAAGCCAAGAGGCACCCCCTAAAGAACAAGAGGTGAACACCCATGTTCACCACCAAAAGCCCCAAGCCCAGAGAAGCACTGAGGAAAATACCCAAGAAAGGCAGTGAAGTTGCAAACAGACATAGAGCAAGAGAGAAAGTACAGACTACTAGCTGACCAAGGAAAAATAAACTGCCTCAAACCTTTATTATTTATAAAGCAGGCCAAAACAAAGGATCTGGTGGTTCTTTGAATCTATGTGGGGTCATTTCCATTTCTTGTGCTGTGGGGATGGACTCTGTATGCTGCTTGTCTTTTGGTTACTCGGGGTTAGGCTCTCTGCTTGGCTCATGTGTGTGGCGTGGGAAATGTACTCCAGATAGTCTCCTTTCTGTCCCCTCACTGTGGAGGGAAAAGAAATTGACGGTCGCCAATGTCAAACGCCACCTCTCTCAACCAGTTTAAGTTAAAAATGAAGCTATACCTAATAAATTCCTTGTAACCTACCTTACCCTTCTATTGTCAACCAATGTCTGTTTTTCTTTAAAGAGCGCTGTTTGTCGACTTAATTGTATTTGTGCTGCTTTTTCATCTATGTTTTCATTCTACTCATTATGCTCAATTAGTATTAAGCTTGTCATTTAAGTTTATCATGCCCGAAACGCTTTGCGTAATAGTGGCTTTAGGCAACTGTATGTACTAGCTCTACCTATAAGTCAACCAATCTTTGTAAAATTTATTGTATGTATGTACCTTACCTAAATAAACATTTTATTTTATTTTTTTTTTATTTTTTTTTATTTTATGTGTCCTGTTGCTCTTGCGAGTCATTTGATTGCCTGTGGCTGGCCCTTTTTGCATCAAAGTGGAACTAGAGGCTGTTGTCTCCAGGGGCTCTGTTTCCAAATTGCGAGGTTTTTACAGGAAGCAGAATGGAAGGATTCTTTTGCCTTGACCAAAAATGTTGGGATTTCCTTTATCTCTCCTCCATTTCAGCTGCTTCCCCTCTCATAGTTTCCAGAAAAGTGCTCTTCATTATACTCAATGCTCTACAATACAGTGTATTCTTGAATTTTTCACTGTAATTTTTATGAGATGTGTCTAACATATTTGTCAAAAAAAAAAAAATCAAAATCAAATGTTTATTTAGGTAAGGTAAGGTTATTTAGGTAAAAATTTGTAATGTAGTACATAGGCTTACACCAAAGATCATAGAAATTATATGAAATGTGAACAAAAACACAAATTTGTACATAGGAAAGGTATGTATGGCACTGACTCTAAGCAAATGGGCATTAAGATATCATCACAGCAACCTAAACTTGGTGTCAGAATCACATTACCAATGCAATATAATATAGTTGTGTGCAATTCCACTCATAATCCAAGTCTTAAGTCGGTGAAATATGTCCTGGTATTTTTCAGTGCTAAGATATGTAATATAGTTATCTATGGCATTTTTTAGAGGGAGCCCCTTGTGGCTGCCTGAAGCTATCTTCCTGAGAGTGCTTTATTTTAAAAAATCATATCAATGACAGGTAGTTTTGTTTGGCCTATCGGACACCAGAGTCAGAACCTGGCCCCCTTCAGAGGGAAAGCAAGTGATAATCCATCACCTCGCTAAAAAAGCCTCCAGAACATCAACACAGCTTTACAGACAGCTGCAGGGTTCACAGAAAATGATGCCTCAAAAACCATCAAACAACTACTGCAACTGAGTCATACAGAACTAATGCTGCTCTTACAGAGCCAGTGTTTCCCTTCTGTGGTGTGTTTGGGTGTTCATCCCTGTGAGGCCGGCCTATCTGGGTGGAGGCCTCACCTTGGGCTGTTCAGAGGTCTTCATTCCTCTGCTGGGTCCTTTGTTGGGGGCTTGGTTATGCCTTTAGCTGTTTTGGGACATGCTAGGGGTTTGCACTTTTTTTTTTTGACATGCCATAGTTGCCTGTCATAGTCTGGTGGTTAGTATCTGTTATAATAAATAATAATAATAAATAATAAATAAATGTTTATTTAGGTAAGGTACATACATACAAGAGATTTTACAGAGATTGATCGATTTATAGATAGAGCTAGTACATACAATGCCTAAAGCCACTATTACGCAAAGCATTTCGGGCATGAAAAACATTAATGACTAAAGCTTAATACTAATTGAGTATAAAGTATAAAATGTGTTGAGAACAAATAAAAATAAAGATAAAAAGGGGGGAACATGGGTGAAAAAGCAGCACAAATACAAATAGGTCGACAAACAGCAAACAAACAGACATGGGTTGACAATAGAGGGGTAAGGTAGGTTACAGGGAATTTATTAGGTAGTGCTTCGTTTTTATCTTAAACTGGCTGAGGGTTTTACAGTGAGTGGCCCTGGGATTCCCCTCTGGTCTCTGTTGTGCTCCTTATGAAGTGGCCGGCAAGTTCAGTCTCGCTGTTTGTGAGTTTGAGGAGTGTTTATCATGTTTGCTACCTGGCAACAATCATTCTTTGTGCCCCTGCTATGCTGTCTGTCTGGTTGGTGATGTTAATGACCCTGAGTCTTGTGATGTATGTTCACACTGGGTCTCTGTCTTCATGGATTCTGCCTTCCAATTGGAGGCTTTCTAGGGAGCTAACACTTTAGGGTTAGGTTTGCTTATGTGAAGGTGAAGTGTTTATGGCATATTGATTAAATGGAACCCCCAGAATTGGCCCTTATGGTGTTTAGGGATATGGAATTGGAGATGTTCATAATCACCACCCAAACTCAATCCACATCTCTTCCTTCACCTATGGGTGTGGTTTGTCCAGCTTCTACACCCTCTGGTTCCAGCCCTGAAGTGTCTGAGGGTTTTCAAGGTGGGTCGGGGGTTTAACTTGACCTTTTTCAGGAGGTAATCCCTTCCATACTAGCGGCAGAGGTAGTTAATTGAGCCTTCCAGCCCCGCCAGGGTTTCAGGGTACTCGCCTTCATAACTGCACCCTTGCCCTGAGCCCTCTCCCTAGAAAGACACATTCCTGTCTCAGGTGTTGGGGAGGACTTCAGCTCTGTCCTGGGGCCTCAGTAACAGGCTTCCAGGGTTGAGGAGGAGCCCAAGTAGTGGCCTTGGGTTCCTTTGAGTCCTTCTTGGTTCCCTCCACAGAGGGTCTTATATTACAGGGGAATAATTTTTCTTCTCCCCCCTTCTATGTATGAGTTGGATTGTTCGGCTGCTTCTCCTAGTTTGTTTTTGGGTCCTATTAAGTGATTTGCATTCTTCTTTTTTTCTGGAGGTTTCTATCCTCCCCTTGCTGCACCTTCTGCAGTTTGTGCAGATATGCTTGATCACCACTTACAGAGTTCTTTTCTATGATGGACCTGGCCTCTTTTTCAGTTTAGGTCTATCTCCACTTTTTGGTTACAGTTTGAGGTGTCAGGCTCATCTTCGCTGACTGGCAACCCTCTCCTTTCCTTGGGGTCTTGGCAAAGGCTCTGTTGTTCCTGAATGGTTGACTAGCGGGAGGTGAGCTCCATTTTTGGAGCTCACCTCTAGCTCACCTGGTTCCTTGGTTCTCTGTTCCAAGGCTCGCATTTCATAAGTGTCATCAAGTCTAGCCAGCACTTGGGCCAATGATGTTCATAAATACATGGCTTTGGCTGTCACCTTCTCTAATATGTTCTATAGGCTGAGATTCAGGCTTGGGGGTTGTGCCATTCTAACAGGGTGCTGGCAGCTCGGTATTAGGTTAATGTTCCTGGGCCCGGTCGGTTGTGTGTGGTGTTGGGTCATGTTGCACTACCCGATTTCTCTCATTCATCTTAAGTGTCTGCCACCTCTCCTCCTTCCTGATACCTCCCTTTCTTGTTCTCTTTGGTTAGTTTAACTTCAGAGTCCCAGCGACTCCATGACTCCCTTCCGCCCTCCAGGTTCATCATTTCATCCTGGTTTGTTCATCACGTCCAGAACTGATTTGGGGACCTGGCTGGGAGCTGGGCCCAGGCTGCCTGGTGGTAGTAATCAGTACTAATGAGTTTTCAAGCTAATTTGAGTGAATCACTTGTTTTGTGCTACTTGTTTGCAGTAGTTGCTTGGTAGTTTTTGAGGCTTCATTTTCTATGAACTCTCCAGTTGTTTGTAAAGCTGCACTGACTTTCTGGTGATTTTTTGTGGTGAGGGGGTAGATTGTCACCTCACCACCACCGCATGCTCTCTCTGCCTGTGTGAGGGGGAACCAGGTTCTTGCTCTAATTCCCAGTAGGCCAAACAGTACCACTCATGACTGATGTGACATTTTAGTAAGAAGCAATCTCTGGAAGATAGCTTCAGGGAGCCACTGGAGCTCCTCCAGAAATTGGCATTTCATTATATTAAATGCTGTTTTTTTTCCCAGTTGTGGCGGTAAATCTTACCTCAAGTTCCCTACACAATGGTTTTGTGGAACAGCTGCGGAATTCAGAACGGTGGGATCAGTATGAATATCTGGTACTGCTGGTTGATGATGGAGGAATTATTGTCACATCAAACAGAGAACTTGTAAGTTTATAGAATAATGATTCTATTATTTTTAGTCAATCAATTTCCATAAGTTGGGAATTTTCATTTGTAAATATCTTCTAAGGTTTTCATGGTTGCTTCAGTTGTACAAAAGTATATTTTACCCTTGTCTTGAGTTTTACATTTATACACAGTATTAGGAAGCTTTCCCGCTACCAAATTTAATGATGAATTTCAGTGGACAATTGTTTGTCTTGTACTGTAGATGAATTGACTACAGACATTAAGTTTTCTAAACTCATTTTTGGTGCTATGTAATACCCTATGTAATGTGCAGCAATGTAAGCAGCAAATTTTTTAAGATTGTATTTTAATGAACAATTATCCAGGTTTGGATAATAAACACACACATTATGGTAACTCGATATATATTTGATGTAAAGGTTACAGCAGTGGTTGTTGTGTGGTATGAGAGCATCGTGACCAGGTGAGACTGTAGAGTGCAGATTACACTGGTGGCTGTAACCAAATTTGTTTTGTGGAATAACTAGGTTGAGGCATATCAGTCAGTGGTGGTGTTGCTTTTGACTGACTATGGGGTGGAAGATTGTACAGGATCAACAGCTGGCATCGTGGAATAACTAGGTTGAGGCATATCAGTCAGTAGTGGTGTTGCTTCTGACTGACTATGGGGTGGAAGATTGTACAGGATCAACAGCTGGCATCGTGGAATAACTAGGTTGAGGCATATCAGTCAGTAACTGACTATGGGGTGGAAGATTGTACAGGATCAACAGCTGGCATCGTGGAATAACTAGGTTGAGGCATATCAGTCAGTGGTGGTGTTGCTTCTGACTGACTATGGGGTGGAAGATTGTACAGGATCAACAGCTGGCATCGTGGAATAACTAGGTTGAGGCATATCAGTCAGTGGTGGTGTTGCTTCTGACTGACTATGGGGTGGAAGATTGTACAGGATCAACAGCTGGCATCGGTGCAGGTGTTGGATCTCGAGGTACCTACAGTGTTGGTGGGGGTACCTGTGGAAAAAAAAGTGTTCAGTGTCACTGGCTGGAGTGTTTCCAAAGGATTGTCTAGGGCAGAATCACAGTGTGGTGTTTTAAAGATAGCCAATTGTGATGTTCTCCTACTTTCCCTGGCACTTTATGGTGAAGAATTTCATCATGTGGGAGATCACTCGTAAGAGACCCTTGTAAGGTAACTGGAGGGGTGGTCTGCTATGGATTGGCCCATCGAGCTTGCACTTGCCATGTGCAAGCTTGAAGGGTGTTCGTCTTCTCTGCTACTTGACGATGACCATTATTTCTGTCTCTGCCATGCTACCTGCTGGGGTCCTACCAGTCACGTGTCAATGATTCCAAGGATCAACTTCCCTGTGGCCCAGTCTCTGACCAGGCCTCCTGGTTGTTTGACATGGCTGCTTGCAGCATGACATATGAGCCACAGCCTGGTTGATGAGGTATTCTTTTAAGGTATGTCACATTCTCTTTTGAACACTGTGAGAGGTCGGCCAGTTATGCCTTGCATGTGCAGAGGTGAGTGTGTTGAAAAGTCATGGGCCTTTGCTGTTGATAGTTCTCTCTCAGCAGGCCTATTGCACCTCAGCTTTTAAATGAGGCTGTTTTGCAAAGCCTGCTATGCCTTCTGGTGGTGGTGGTGATGTGGAATGGGGCCCTCAGCGGGAGTGGTGATGGTGTAGGCTTTGGCTTTGGGGCAGACACACGTGCATTGCCATCACTGTCTGCATCACTTCATTCTGAGGCCTGTGCATAATCTTTAACTGAATCATCAAATTCACTTTTCTTTGTTTCCATCAGATTCTTCTGAATTTCTTAGTGAGCCACAGTGTTGTTAATGGGTGGTGGAGGGTCTTGCATCTGCCATGGTTGCTTGATACAAGCTGAAGCCATCTTGCCAAAGTCAGCCAACTCACCATTTTTTCAAGCTGGCAGGTGTTTACTATCACCCCTGGGCAATGTCTGGTTGCCCTATTTATGCAGCAGGACTTCCACATTTTAAGTGGTGCTTTAAAATATCCCTGATTGTGTCGCACTGTTTTTTTTCTATTTGCTTAGAACATCCCTCATTATGTCTTGGTTATCTTGAGATTCTTGAGGTTATCTTGAGATTCTTGAGGTTATCTTGAGATGATTTCGGGGCTTTTTAGTGTCCCCGCGGCCCGGTCCTCGACCAGGCCTCCACCCCCAGGAAGCAGCCCGTGAAAGCTGACTAACACCCAGGTACCTATTTTACTGCTAGGTAACAGGGGCATAGGGTGAAAGAAACTCTGCCTATTGTTTCTCGCCAGCGCCCGGGATCGAACCCGGGACCACAGGATCACAAGTCCAGCGTGCTGTCCGCTCGGCCGACCGGCTCCCTTTGTCACGCAGTCGACCGGCTCCCCTGTCACGCAGTCGAAAAGTTAACATTTGTGTGGTTGAGTGTACTGCATTTTTTACCATACTCCTGTTAAACATTGATTCATGTTTACAACTCCAATGATTTATTACTTCTCATCATATTCACTATATAAAATGCTGAATGATAAATGTTGGTAATATTCAGGAAGAATAAATTTACTAATGTTCTTTTCTTTCCAACAGCTTCAAGGAATAACCCTTCAGGGTATGTTTATTGGGGACCTTGACATACCAATTTTGAAGCATTTGAAAGATTCCAGATTATACGATATGGAGATTGAAGTTGACAAGCAGTCTATATGCCGGGAACTCAAGAATAATGAGACAAGTGCTGGACCAAAGAGTCATTACATTCCAAGTCCGTTTACTATTGCAGCCAGTTTTCTTGTCGAGGTCTTCTCTTGGGCCGAATATCTAAAATATCTGCTTTACAGGTCAGTTATGTTTGTGTTAACAGACTGCTAAGGTATAGAAAGGTAATAAAGGTATTTTTGCACGTTTGTCAGCCTTTCCTTTACAGGCAACATATTTTACCTGAATTTACTTGATAGCAGACGTAATGAGTGAGGACAGGAAATATGTGGCTGCAGTACTCTCACTGTCGTAACATCAGTCCACCCCTACAACACAGTGGAGATGAGGGAAAAGGGCAGAGGAACTGGCAGAAAGCGACCTACCACCCTGCACACTACAAGCATGTAAACATGAGATCTCGCACTCTCATGCTCATTCCTCGGGTTTGTGCAGATATGTAATATATGTATTATACCCAGTGACATGCATTTACTTAACCCTTTCTGGTCAATATGTGAGATACTAAAGTGGTGACCTCAGAGTAACCAGCTCACCAAAAAAGACAGAGATCGGAACCCATATACAAAGTCAGCTACCGAGAACCCACTGTCCTCTTTAGTGTCTCACATATTCACCAGACAAGGGTTCAGCAAATGCAAGTCATTGGTTGTAATGTATATATTTTCTAAATCTGTACAAATTGAAGGAGGAGGCAAGAGTGTGGTTCAGATCTTGTGTTTACATGCTTATAGCATGTGGACTGGTCAGTCAGTTTCCATCAGCTCCTCTGCCATTTTCCCTAATCTGTCATGTTGTAGGGGTACTGAAGTAGTCATAATGCTGCCTGGTGTACTAATATATTGCCTTGGTCATATTATTCTATCTGCCTCACTACTATGGTGTCTGGCTCATTATCGTGCTGTCTGGCTCACTATTATGCTACCTGGTTCAAAATTGTGCTGCCTGGCCTACTATTGCATTGCCTAGCTTACTCTTGTGAGGCCAGGCTTGACTAATTTTTATGACAATTATGGTATTCGTCTCATAATTTTATAACAAGGCAGTTGCATCATTTCATGACAAAGTATTCACATACCAGTCAAACCAACTTACTGTATGACATCGTAATAATATATATTGTTGACCACACAAGAGCCTCTTAATATCTCATAAAAATGTGGCACAACATGCACTACCTGGGTGATAGCATGCCACATGCCACCTGGTTTGGTTGTGATGCAAAGGCAATGTCGCAAAGCAATGCAAAAGTCTCGGAGTGAAGTCATAAGAGGTAAAGCCAGGTGAGGCAAGGATATATATTCTCCTGATGCTGTCCCAAGGCTGAGTGAACTTAGTTGGAGTTGGTCATCTTTTATTGGGCAGTTGCCAAGATCTGTGAGGGAGCTTGTGAATGATCATGGACCCTCTTACTTTTCACCAGAGAGGTCTTTGTTTGCCTAGCAGTAAACAGGTCTAGCAGTAAACAGGTCTGCAGTAAACAGGTCTGTAAATAGATCTTAACATACAAGTTAAGCAACTGTTGTTGGTTATACCTAGCAGTAAATATGTACCTAGGAGTTAGATAAATATTGTTGGTTACACCCTAGGGATTGTCATCTGTTGTCTTAGTAGGATATCGACAAGTCTGATAGCCATTCTGTCCCGGCTGACAATGGGAAGCCAGCTGAAATCATTTCATCTTTTCTCCATTATTAATGCCTTATAAGGTTTGATCTCAGTTAATAATAATTTTAATGACTCATTATATTTTGTTAGAAAGATTAGAGCATTTGAGTATATACTGTGAAAGGGAAGAGTCCACAGCAACAAAGCCAGGACTCAAGTTCATGTTGGGTACATTGTTAATAAGAGCCGATTCTACAAGACGGCGTCTGTGTAGAGTAGAGGCAGGAAAGATTATTTTGGAGGAAGACCAATCAATGGGATGATTAGAATCCCTCACATGACAGAAGAGAGCATTGTTAGTGTCTGCAGACTTAACACTTCTCTTGTGTTCTTAAGTCTGTCATTCAGTGTACGGCCAGTTTCGCCAAAGTATTGGAGAGGACAAGATGAACAGGAAATAGAGTAGACACCAGCAGCATTGTATTTCTATATCTTGTGTTTTGTATAGTCCATGTTTATATGTTTTTTCTTTAATCTCATTTATTACCTAGGTTGCCTAGCCTAGCCATACTCCCTTACTCCATTGTACCCCTGTAAGCCCCTTTTGTGTTTGTTTTGTACAGTATTGTGTAAATTTTTTTCCCTATTTTATAGCTTATTTCTACCTTGTAATTTGCCTTTCTTTCCTTGTTTTTCCTGCAATCAGCTTTTTTTATGCAGACAAGTATAGACCCAGAACTTAACCTCTTATCCACTATCTATGACAATTATCACTTTAATGATCTAAATTGCAGATATTTTGCAGCACATGATGTAAACAATGTATTAACTCATAATCACAATATCTCTGTAATCAATTTGAACGTTAGATCCCTAGGTAAACACTTCGATGATGTTAGTGCCTTGATTGAAGCTATTGACAACAAATTCTCTTTATTATACTTACTGAAACATGGTTGAAAGAGGATACTACTCAGCTCTTTAACATGCCTAACTACTCAGCAATTCACAACTGTCGTCAACTTCAGAGAGGTGGTGGCACTGCTCTTTACTACCACCAAGAACTAACATGCTTAAAAGAAATTAGATCCAGAGACTGCTATGGGGAGTATATCTTCGCCAGCTTCAGAGTCAAGGGTGCCGAGTCTGTCCTGACTGTGGGTGCAGTTTATAGAATTCCTAACACTGATGTGTCCGAATTCAACTCAAACCTTAGAAATCTAATACTTGATAACAGACTGAACAAAAACCACCTAATTATCGCAGGGGACTTTAATATTGACCTCTGCGAGCCTGAACACCCTACTGCTGTTAGCTTCCTCAACTGAATGAATTCCTGCTTCCTCATACCCTTAATCACTAGACCTACTAGAATCACTGATAGCACTGCCACGACGCTAGATCACATCTGGACAAACATAACCTCTCCGCTTACTTCAGGTATAATCACCGATAGCACTACAGACCATTACCCCACATTTCTCTTAACTAACATTAGCAAACCACCTCTTGAGTCAAGAGTGATACGTTTTAGACTACACAATGAAACAGCTATAGACAATTTTATAACTGCTGCTGATAATGTCAACTGGGAGTCCGAGTTAGGTAACATAGTGGACATCAACCTAGCAGTGCAATCTTTTCTTCAAAAAACTCTTAGCCTTTATAATACCCACTGTCCTATGCTTACAAAACAAGTCACAACCAAAAGGCTTAACAATCCCTGGCTTAAAAAGGGAATACTTAAATCTATTAATAAAAAACATGACCTTGAGAAGAAGTATAGGTTAGGAATTGTCTCCAAAGAATTCTCAAAGAATTACTCATTATTGCTGTCTAAGATAATTAGACGAGCCAAAACTAAATACTACGAAGATAAATTTACCCAAATAAAGAGCAACATTAAACAAACTTGGAGAACAATTTCTCAAATATTGGGATCAAAGAAGTCTTTAAATAACAAACCGACTCTCCTGTCTAATAACGATGGTCAGCTTTCAGCCTCTGATTCTGCTATTGAGTTCAATAGGTTCTTCTCTTCCATTGGTTCATCCCTTGCAAATGATATTCCATCTTCCAGTACAGACATTAAGGACTATCTTACAGGTAACTATCCAGTCTCTGTACCTAAAGCCTATTAATTCCACTGACGTCAATGAGATAATCCTTTCCCTTAAAACCAAGTCTGGTGCCCTTGAGGAGATACCAACTTTAATTTACAAAAAGCCTCCAGATCTTTAGCCCCTGCTATTGCTTTGCTCTTCAACAAGTCACTTGAACTCCAAACCTTCCAGATATTCTAAAAAAAGCTAGAGTAACGCCTGTCCACAAATGTGGTGATCTCACAGATGTTAACAACTACAGACCTATATCTATCCTGCCAAACTTGTCAAAAATTTTTGAAAAACTAATCTATAAGCAGCTTTACTCATATCTAGCCAAACTCAATATACTTAGCCCTTGCCAATATGGCTTCAGACCCCAAAAAGCACTAACGATGCACTTATTAGTATGCTTAACTCGATTCATACAGCTCTTGATAAAAATGAGTTCCCTGTTGGGTTGTTTGTGGACCTGCGTAAAGCTTTTGATACTGTCAACCACCAAAACCTTCTTCTTAAATTACATCATTATGGAGTCAGAGGACACTCCCTACAATACCTCAAATCCTACCTTACTGACAGGCTCCAATATGTTTCTGTGAATAATACAATTTCTCCCACCCTACCCATCAACATTGGTGTTCCCCAGGGCAGCATACTTGGCCCTCTCCTCTTTCTCATCTACATTAATGACCTTCCAAATGCCTCCCAACACCTCAAACCAATTCTATTTGCTGACGACACAACCTTCATTTACTCCAGTCCTGATCCCCTTGCTCTAAATGCCACAGTAAATACTGAGCTAAATAAAGTCCATCTGTGGCTAACTGCCAACAAACTCACCCTTAACATTGACAAAACTTTCTATATTCTGTTTGGCAATAAATCCTCTAATCAAATAAATCTCAAAATAAACAATACCCAAATTTGTAACAAATTAGATGGCAAATTCCTTGGCATTCTCATTGACCACAAGCTGAATTTCCAGGGACACATTCTAAACATATCAAAAAAAGTTTCAAAAACTGTGGGCATTCTTTCTTATGTACTAGCTAGTCTGAAAAATATGTAATTGAGTAATATGTTATTTAATGTTTTGTAAATATGTCAGAGAGGAAAGAGGAATGCTATATGTGATTAACTTGGCTGTAACTTGGATGACCACTACATATTAGGCTTACAATATTTTTATATTAGAAAGGTTCCTTTAATATATACAGTACTGTATTTATGATCTTTTCTACAGTGGTTTACTTGCTCTCATAACACCAAGTGTGGAGTCCTGGTCTGAATGGGGCATGATGCAAATTGGTGGCATGGAGTCGTGCAGAATTGAGAGAGCAACCTATTATTTTGGGGAGACAGGGTCACTGTCAGGCATCATGAAGTGCAACAATTACTCAGCAAAAGTAAGTACAGCACTCTACACGGTTTTCTATGGGGAGCTCCTTCAGCTCCCTGGAGCTATCAGACTGATATGCAATATATTAGTATAGATCATTAGTCAATGGGGTTTAGCCTACTAGGGACCACGAGCCAGAACCTGGCCCCTTCAGAGAGGCACAGGAAGCAATGGGCCCTGGAAAACCCTCTGTGGTTGGGGGGTTTCCTTATCTGCCATTGACCAGGGTTAGACACCCAGAAAGGTAAGCATAACAAAACAGACCCCACATGGTAAGAAAATTAAAACTGAAAACTGAACAGAGGCAGAACTCCCTCAAATCCCAAAGAAACAAGCAAACATCACACTGCTTGTCCGCACCGCTCATCTGCGCTACTCATCCGTGTAGCCCTCTCCTCCTTGGGAGGAGGGAAGCCTCGGACCCTTCATGCCAGCTACCCAGCAATTCTAGTTCGTTGGCTAATGCATGCACTCTGGGTGGTTGTCAACTCTGACATCAGTTTCCTGGCAGTGTTTTGCCTTAGTGGTGTCCTCTGCTGTTCATGGTGTGGTGGCCAGGTGCATTAAAGTGTACTGGGGCTGCATGCACTTAGGACAGCCTTTCCTAAGTGTCCTGTGAGTTCTATCCTTGGGTGTCAGGGTTCTCTTCCCTGGTGCTTTCGAAATGCCATTTCTGTAGGGTTTTTGCTGCTCGGCATTTACCCCGCCCGTGGGGCCAGCTGGGGTTTCATGGCCCTTGTTTGGCCTTGGGTAGGAAGTGGTATTGTTGTTGGTTGGGGCATTAAGGTGTTGCACAGCCAGCTTACCTATGCAGCGGCTGATTCCTGTTTCCTTTGGGGACGTTGTACTTTTGCGGGATTTTACTTTTACTTTTTGTTTTGTTTGCCTGGTGGGAGTCTGCCTGGTGTGGCTATAGGACCACTTTTAATATTTTGGTGGCCCTCGGCTAGGCCCCCGTGATTGTACACGTTGCAGGGGTTTCAGTGTTTTGATCTCCCCCTTATTAGCTTTGGGTCTAACTGGTTAGCAACACTTTGACAGGGCTTCCTGTAGCAGTCAGCCTATGGGCCTTGGAAAACCCTATTGGGGCTCGATGGATCTATAGATGTGTCTCCCGAGTTCCAGCTCACCTTGTGCAAGTTTGAAGGTTGCTGTATGCCCTTGTCTCAGGGTGACAGTCACCACTTTTGCCTCCATCATGTTGCATGTTGGGTCAGCGACACCCTTGACTTGGAGTTTTGTGAGTTGTGTTCTCTGCTTGTTCTCCATTTATCCATTCTGATGACATTGATATTCAGGTACAGGCAGCATACATGTTGCATGCTAGGTTTAGGTTGCTGCAACGCGCTAGGTTGGTTGCCCGCCCAGATGCCCCGAGGCTGCCCCATTTTGGTTAGGCATTGTTTGTCTTTCAACCCCCCCCCCCTCTCCTCCTCCCCTGGCTATGAAACATCTGCGGGTTTCGGAATTGGGGCGGGGGTGTAGTTGGTGATGAGACTTGGGCGGCTTCAGGGGCTGCCCCATTCGGGTTGGGGGATGAAGGCATTCAAGCCTGCTCCTGTGCCGAGGCTTCTGGAGGCGACCTCCCTCCCTCCCTCCCTCCCTCCCTCCCTACCAGCAAACCTCCCTTCTTTACTGCCTTTTCCCTGGAACCTGCCTTTTCTTCAGGGGTTGAGGGCATGGAGGACGGCTCTGCCCTGGAGCCACTGTTGAGGGGTTCCTGGGGATGTTTAATTGCCACTGTCAACCAATTGCCATTGTCATTTATTGCCAAATTGCCATTTAATTGCCATTGTTAACCAATGTCTGTTTTTTTTAAATGACGCTGTTTGTCGACCGAATTGTATTTGTGCTGCTTTCTCAGCCATGTTCCCCCCTTTTTATCTCTTTTTTTTTATTTGTTCTCAACTCATTTTATTCTTTATGCTCAATTAGTATTAAGCTTTAGTCATTTAAGTTTTTCATGCCCGAAACGCTTTGCGTAATAGTGGCTTTAGGCATTGTATGTACTAGCCCAATCTGTAAATCCATCACTCTTTGTAAAATCTCTTGTATGTATGTACCTTACCTAAATAAACATTTGATTTGATTTGACTGCCTGGGCTTTGTGCCTTCTGGGTGGGTTTTTTCATCTGTTTTATTATTCAATATTTGCTGGCATGATTTTTGCTCCCTTGCATCAGCCACTTCTCATTTTGTTTTGGTGGCAAATTTTTCTCTGCCATTTTCTTTCTTTCCATTTTGTAACACTGATAAAACCAGCGTTGAATGTAATGAAACTCCCTTTTTCTGGGTGAGTCCCAGAGGCTCCCTGGAGCTATCCCAGGCTGATATGCTAATGTCAGACTTTGGCATCAGTCATGTGTATGGAGTTCTTAGGCCTACCAGGGACCACGGCCAGAACCGGGCCCCCCTCAGAGAGGCAAGGGGAGCAATGGCCTATAGAAACCCCCATGTGGTTGGAAGCATTCTATGTCTGCCATCGACCGGATCAGGCACCCAGAAAGGTAAGCACCCCAAAACAAACCCCTATTCTGGTTAAAATTGCTACCAAGAGCCGAACTAGTGGATAGAACTCCCCAACAGAAAATGAGCAAACTAGTATGACGTCACACATCGCTGCGCCGCTGTCTGCGCAGAGGGGGAAGGAGGAGCCCCAGAGCCTTCAAGCTGGCTACCCACACCTCAGTTCTGAGGCTGGATGTCAAAAACACGAAAAACCGCCAACCGGAGGGAGGGAGGGATGCTGGGGAGCCTCCGGGACTCACCCAGAAAATGGCGTTTCATTACATTCAACGCTGGTTTTCTGGGGGGGAAAAAAGGGGTTTTCTAACCCCTGCTCCAGAGGAGAGCATGAAGCTTCCTGACCCGACCCCCAGAGGCTAATGCCAACAAGAAAAGAGCCTTGTAGAAACAATCCTGGACTGAAGGGGCCACAACGAAACGAGGAGACAAAAGGAAAGCGAGCACTCTGTCCAAAGACCAGGACGGCTCCCTTGCACTCACAAGTAGTCAGTGTGGGCTTGCTGGGCCCATTCATAATGAATGACTGGGTCACCCAAGCACTAGGGAAACTCTCTGGATGAACAGACACTGAACACAGCACAAAAACTCCTTAGAACTTTGCAGAGAAGTCAAAGACCCTTGCAGTACTCAAGAGTGAAGCACCCTCCACATGAGATTAGCCTCAGTGGGACAAACACCTCAATCCACCAGGTAAGCAACCCTGTCAGGGCAGAGGTAGTGTCAATGAGCACCTAGGGAAGGGCAGCCCTAGGCACCTGCAGCTTGAGATGAACAGTTCCCAAAGTCCATATAACAAGTGAGGCATGTAAAATCACATACATGAAGCAAATACAGTACTTAAAATTTAAATGATACACAACCAAATAGGTCATCATAGGACAGAGTCTAAATGATGGCCAACGCTTAACTACAATAGTATGGAGCTGAAGAGCTGGCGACTCGAGGAACAGTCGGACACATCAAGGACTGATGACTGTTGACATGGAAGCTGACAGCTCCCATGGTGCTACCACATGGGGGTGGCTAGCTGTTACTAGAGGGAGGGGGGGTGTGATTTTTAACTTTTGGGTGGACTGTTTGCTGAATAATTTGCTGCATTGTTTGTATACTTTCTATGAACCTTGCAGTCGTCTTTTTCTTCCCTCACTTCCTTTCTGGGGGGCTTGTTTCTTCGGTGAGGGTGATCATGAATTCCCTGCTTCCTATGCTTCTTTGAGGATGGGTGGGGGGGGGGAAAGGCCAGGTTTTGACCTCTTGTCTCCAATAGGCTATTGAAGGACTTACAAGAGATGTTACATATAGGCATGGAGCTATCTCAGTGCAGATATTAACAATTAACCACCATTCTGCCTCTCCAGGAAAAACAGGACTGATAATAGGGTAGGGGGAACAATTGGTAGGGTTACACTGGCATCACATTTTTGTTGTCATAATAAATCCACAAATGTTTATGTGATCAGCGAGTTTAATGTTTCAGCATCTTATCACAACACTATTACAGTAAAATAATAGACAGATACTGTAGTGTAATAATTGAAGGCAATTGTTAATAATAAGCAGATACAATGAGACTATGAAAACTGTTTTAACATAAAAATGGCTGAGAAGTGTTACGCTGTAATGCATTCAACTCATCAGATTTGGAATGTTTTCTCAACATGCACACAACATGCAACTGCAGTTTTGGTAATTCTATGATATTACAGTCTCCGTGGTGTAGTGGTAAGACACTCGCCTGGCGTTCCGCGAGCGCTATGTCATGGGTTCGTATCCTGGCCGGGGAGGATTTACTGGGCGCAATTCCTTAACTGTAGCCTCTGTTTAACGCAACAGTAAAATGTGTACTTGGATGAAAAAACGATTCTTCGCGGAAGGGGATCGTATTCCAGGGACCTGCCCGAAACGCTACGCGTACTAGTGGCTGTACATGAATGTAACAACTCTTGTATATATCTCAAAAAAAAAAAAAAAAAAAAAATATTAATTTGTTTAACCTTATTTGTTTCAATTCTGTAACAGCACACTGAATGTTATTTTATATTGTACTTTAAGGTAAATTTTTAATCACGAACCCCAGGGTATTGTTTTTATTACTGAACAATTTTATATATTGAACAAAATTTGCTGCTTACTCATTGGAATGGAAAAATGAAATTAATGATGCTTGTACAACTTACAATTATCAAACATCAGTATAATGAATTGAAAAGAAATTGAAATTGAAATAAGTTTATTGAGGTAAAATACACACAAAGGGATGAGGTAGCTCAAGCTATTCTCACCATGTTAATTGAAAAGAAAAATGTATAATTGCACATTATGTTTTAAGTAATTTTAATTAAATAATTGAGCTTAGCTATCATTCAAATTTAAATTATGCTATTTTAATTTAAAGAATAACAACATTTTATGTACACAGTTCTGGGCTGAGCGACTGCAGGATACAAATGCAATGTTGATTGCTATTGAAATGAGTATTAATGCACAAGAATGTGGAGTACACTCAAACCTACCTGGAATTGAGCCAAAACGAGTGACTTCACATACGCCGTGTGCGTACCAGGACAGATATAGAAAACGACCAATTAGCTGCCTTACAAGTAATTCAACAGTGAGTATACTACATTGTTTGAATATCATATTTTATAAATTATCTTATTATTATAAATTATCTTATTATTATAATTATCTTATTATCTTATAATTATTACTATAAATTTGAATATCATATCATATAAATTATTTTTCTGTGGAGAGCCCCTTCAGCTCCCTGGAGCTATACCGGACTGATGTGTATATATTAGACCGTGGGAACAGTCAATCAATGGAATTCCAGGCTTACCAGGAATCGGAATCTGGCCCCCTCAGAGAGGCACGAGGAGTAATGGCTTATAGACACCCCCCGTGTAATTGGACACAGTCTATATCTGTCATCTACCAGGTCAGGCGCCCAGAAAGGTAGGAATTCCAAAACAAACTATAACTGGTTAAAAATTGCAAACCAAAAGCCGAACTAGCAAGCAGAACTCCTCAATCGAAAACAAGCGTGACATCACAGCCGCTGCGCAGCTGTCTGTTTAACTCTTTCCCCCCCCCCCCCTGCGGGGGAGGGTGGTCCCAGACCTCCTATGCTTGGCTACCTAACCCCAGTTCAGAGGCTGTTGTATTTAGTGGCAGTCGATCGACTCTGGCTCCATCCTTTTGAGCAGTGCTGTCCATAGCGATGTTGTTCTATTGTGTGGTGGTGTGGAAGCCAGGAGTAACACAAGAGTACTAGGGCTGCATGTGCCTAGGGCCACCTTCCCTAGGTGCCCCTGTAAGTACTGCTCTTGTTGGGGAGAAGGTAGTATCGTCGCAGGCAGGGGCACAAGGTACTGTGCAGCTGTCGTGATATACGCATAGCGGCTGGTTCTATTCCCTAGGAAACGACGTGCTTTTGCATGGTTTTTCTTTTCCTTTTCTTTTTTCTGGTGGGGGATCTGCCTGGTGTGGCTGTAGATACACTTGTATAATTTTGGTGACCCTCTGCTAGGTCCTTGTGCTTGCACATGTTGCAGGGGTTCAGCTTTTAGTTTGCTTGGTATCTCTGGGATAACCGGCTAGTAGTACCTCACCTGGGCTTCTCTTAGCAGTCAGTCTAAGGGCTCAGGGAACCCCCATTGGAGCTCACTGGTCCGATGGAGGAGACCTCCAAGTCCCACCTCGCTTCATGCGAGTTTGAAGGTTGCTCTGTCCACTTGTGTCAGGGTTACATTCACCATCTTTGCCTCCGCAATGCTGCCTGTTGGGTCAATGACACCTTTGACCTGGAGTCTTGCGAGTAGTGTTCCTTGCGTTTACTCCAGTTCACCCAGTTTGATAATACTGTTGATTGGGTGCAGGCAGCATCTGCGTTGCGTACATGGTTTAGGTTGCTGCAACGTTCTAGGTTAATTGCCTTTTCAGATGCCCCACGGCTGCCCCGCTTTTGTTATAGGGAGCCGAACTTGGGGGGGAGGGGGTTGTTAGTCGTTTGACTCTGGTTTTGTCTGTGCCCCCCTTGTTCTTCCCATGCTGTGGTTTATCCTGCTCCTCCCACTACCTGCTCCCGGCTCCCAAATGCCTGAGGGTTTTCTTGGTGGTGAGACTCGGGCGGCTTCGGGAACTGCCCCTTCCGGATCAGCGGCGGAGGCATTCGAGTCTGTTCTTCCTGCCGGGGCTTTTGGGTAGTGCCAGCAGGCCCCCTTCATCCCTGCTTTTTCGGTGGACTTTGCCTTTTCTCCAGATGCCGAGGGTTTGGAGGACAGCTCTGCCCCAGCTCCTGGCTTGGAGGATCCCAGGGCTGGGGAGGAGTTGACTTGGGAGGCTTGGGCCCCATTTAACCCCACTTGAGTGGTGGTACCCTCAGCATGGGGCTTGTTATTACAGGGGGAGGGGCTTTCCTATCCCCCCCCTCCCAGTATGCATTTGATATGGGTTCAACTCCTTCCCAAGTTCGGTTCTGGGTTCTGTTGGGTTCCTCGGTTCCCTCCTTCCGGAGGTTTTTGAATTCCCACATCCCACCGAAGGTGGTGTGGGAGGCCCTTGTGGTGCGCTTGGGCGTGGTTGAAACGACGGTGTCCCTCAGGTGGATTTCCTGGCTACTTCCAGTTCCGAAACAGGACTGTGTGGATCTGCGTTTCATTCTGGAGTTGTCCCATCTGAACCCCTGGGTCTTTTGCCCCTCTTTTCGGATGATAACTCTGTCCCAGGTCTAGCTACTTTTAGAGCCAGGTGCTTGGATGGTGTCCCTGGACCTCCAGGATGCATATTGGCATATCCCGATTCATCCGGGGTTCAGGGACTGGCTCGGTTTTGTCATAGGGCAGCAAGCTTACTGCTTTCGTTGCCTTCCATTCGGTTTGAATTTGGTCGTCTCGCGTTTTTACATGCCTTACCCCGGGTCATGGTGACCCGTTTGCATCTGTTAGGGGTTCGGGTTCTGGCTTACCTCGACGACTGGCTGGTCTAGGCTTCCAGCCGGTCTGTGTGTCTGCTCACCAGGGATTTGATTCTTTCCAGCTTGCCAGGTTTGGGTTCTTTGTGAGCTGGAGAAAGTCCCATTTGGTTCCCTCTCAGGTTCGGACGTAGCTGGGTGTTGTGTGGAACTCTCGAACCACTTCCTTGTCTCTCCCTCCAGCAGTGTTGCTGCGGCTGCAGTCCCACCTTGGGTTGTTTTTGGGGGGCACCCGGGCCACTCGTTGGTTGTTCAAGCAGCTGTGCAGGAGTCTGAACTTCGCAGTGCTGGTCTGCCCGCCGGGTCAGATCTGGCTTCAATCTAATTTGATGATTTACTACCAAATAAAATGTAGAAGGTCTTTTCTATGTTTAGTGTAACTTTGTTGGCTGACATCCACGAGTGGACATTTTTTAATTCAATGTTGACAATATTATTTAGTGCGTGGGGGTTAGGGTCAAAATAGAGAAAGGTAGCATTATCAGCAAATAGTATAGATTTAAGAATGTTAGAAACATTTAGGAAATCATTGATGTATATAAGAAATAGAAGATCCCAAGATGCTGCCCTGTGGCACCCCTACTGTCAATGGTAGAGTGGGAAAGGATATGCGGTTGATGATTACATATTGGTGTCTGTCACTGAGATAGGAACGAATATAGTTCAGAGCAAGGCCTCGGATACCACAGTGGGGAAGTTTAAGTAAGAGGTAGTTATGATTTACAGTATCAAAGGCCTTTCTCAGCTCATTGAAGAGGTCAATTGGGAACTCATTTTTGTCAAGAGCTGTGTAGATTATATCAAGCAGACTAATAATGGTATCGTTGGTATTTTTGGGGGAACAGAAGCAAAATATGTTGAGTTTTACAAAGTAGGAATAGAGCTGTTTGTAAATAAAATTTTCAGATATTTTTGAAAGTATTGGTAGATTTGATGTTGGCCTGTAATTGTTTGTCAGCTCTCTCGCCTCCTTTATGAACTGGCATCACTCTTGCTCTTTTTAAGGATATCAGGAAAAGTATGACACTCTAGATTTGTTGAATAAAAGAGCTATGGGTGGTGCAAGAGCAGGGGCAGCACTCTTATATATCATAGATGGTATTTCATTAATTTTCCCAGCATTGGTTTTAAGTGATTGAATTATGGATATAATGTCTGTCGGGCTGACTGGGGAAGGAGTAGAGTTAGGATAGCTGCCTGTAAAATATGTGGTAACATGTAATTACCTAAGTGTAATTACCTAAGTGTAATTACCTAAGTGTAGTTACAGGATGAGAGCTACGCTCGTGGTGTCCCGTCTTCCCAACACTCTTTGTCATATAACGCTTTGAAACTACTGACGGTCTTGGCCTCCACCACCTTCTCACCTAACTTGTTCCAACCGTCTACCACTCTGTTTGCGAAAGTGAATTTTCTTATATTTCTTCGGCATCTGTGTTTAGCTAGCTTATATCTATGACCTCTTGTTCTTAACGTTCCAGGTCTCAGGAAATCTTCCCTATCGATTTTATCAATTCCTGTTACTATTTTGTATGTAGTGATCATATCACCTCTTTTTCTTCTGTCTTCTAGTTTTGGCTAGAAGACAGTCTGGGTCTCTGGGATTGGGTTGATAATAAGACAAATTGTGAATGAAATTCAATAGTTACACTAGCAAATGTGAAGAAATATAAGATGTTCTCAAACTGTACATATTTTGTCAGTATATTTATAATGCAAAAATACAGAATCATTAATATTAATTAAAATATTTTTCTGCTTTTTAGGCTGCTGATATTGGTTGCCACGCGTGCCGACGACAGCTCAACCATTATCTTGTCCTCGTGCTTGTAATAGTTGCTATTTGTAATAACTATGTAAATAAAATTGCTTCATTATAATTAATGCTAATTACTGGAAAGACTTAACTAAATATGTTGGAGATGTTTTTGTTTTCATGATAATAAATTTCGACATTTAAAAACAAAATATTTTGATTCCCGAGGGTGCCCTACAATTTATTATATCAATGGGAGTTTGTAGGGAGAAGATCAATAAGAATTGTAGAGGGCTACACAAAAAAATTATTGTAGGTGACATAAAACAAAAGGAATTATAACTGACTAAAAAACAGAACTGTTGGACAGATCTTGCAAAATTTGTACTCCGCAACTGACAAAATTAAGCATGTATATTTATGTATGATACTGTTCAGTAAAATGTTGATTACAGGGTCTGTACATGCCCGTGTCGGGTCATGTGCTGACAGCTGGCATCCCCATCAATGTATACATCATAGGACAACTACTGACTGCAACATATATAAATTAAAATAATACATAATGAAAGAAGATAAACGAATTACTGTATATGTGAAAGCTATATTTGTGAGAAGTAATGCAGGAAGTTCAAGGACATTTGGTCACGGAATGTGTACCTCGGTCACAAGACCTATTATTTAGTGGCAAGATGTGTCGTTGTTTAACACAGCTGCACAGTTAGGTCACAGTGTGACCTAACTGTGGTCACACTGTGGTCACATTCACATTCAGTCACTACATGTGACCACTCATGTGTGGTCACATTCAGTCACTACATCCACCATTCAGTCAGTAGACTTGCCATTCAATCACAAGACCCACCATTTAGTTGGTTCCATATTTTCCTACATGATGTAAATTCCAAATGTGTATTAGTATCTTTTAAAAAAAAATGGCGTGTCAATCAGAGCTAAAGTTACAGAGAAAAATACATTTGAACATTTATGACTAAACTAATATGGCTGTCACACCATTTCTTTATAGAATTTTCTTGACCTAGTTTCTATGTAGGCCATAAAGGTACTGTAGTTTCATCAGCAAGTTTCATGTTAATTTAACATACAGATATAGACAAGACATTTGAAAATTGATGAATAAGCCAATATGGCCTCTAGACATAAAAACATCTTAAAAAAAAAAACACTTATGTTAACTGTCTTGAAATTATCTTGAGGAAATCATCTCAAGATAACCTCAAGACAGTTAACATAAGTTTTTTATCAAATCTTAACCTCTTTACTGTGACACTTTTGTTTTGGCCCTATACTTTTCTTGTCAATATAAGGCTATAAAATTGGTATGGGTGCAGCCCCTTGAGGTTCCCTGAAGCTATCTTGCTGAGCTGGCCCCTAACTACTTGATTACATCAGCTGTACAGTTCAGTTTGGCCTACTGAGGACCAGTACCAGAACCTGGCTCACTCACAGAGGCAGAGGAAGCAGGTGATACTCCGCTACCTCACTAGGAAATCGCCCAGAATGTCAAACCTGGGTTAAAAAAAAAAAAAATGCTTCACAACCTGTGAAATGAACTTCCCCAATAATGTAAACAAACTACTGTATTAAAGATCTCTCGAAACAAGAGTGCACTGTTTTGCCCTACCCCTCACCTCATTTGGGGGTGGGAGGAGCTTGTGCTGTCCACTGGCTCAAGCCATTAGTTCTTCCGCTGATGCAGCTTGTGCTACATGTCTCCAGTATGGTCTCTAGGTCGTCAGTAAGCCATGGCTGGCCTTGGTACTTTTAAGCTAAGTGCCTCTTTGGCATTCTTCCTGTGTGTTTTGCTTTGTACACTGTTGGTGTAACATGGGCCTGGCTTTTTTCAGTGCTTAGAGCTGCATGTGCTCAGGGCTACCTTTCCTGAGTGCTATCTAGCACCAGCAGTTCTCTTCTCTGATGTGTTTAGGAGCTTGCTCTCTTACAGGTCTTTCCTCCTTGGGATGGCCAGGGATGGCAAGGAGAGTCAGGGGTTTCATTGCCCCTCTGTCTTGTCCTGGGTTAGGAGTGAGCATTGGCTGGTGGGGTGCTTAGGATTTCCTTGACCTAATGTGGGTCTTCATCCCTTTGGACAAGGGCCTTTTGCTTCAGGGGGAGGGGATTTTGTACCCCCTCCTTGTATGATTTTGTTTTGAATGCAGCTCCCCCCCAGGGTTCGTTTATGCATGTTGTTAGGACCATTGGAACCGTCTTTCCAGAGGTTTCCTTCCTCTTGAGTCTCTCTGTTATGCATGATCTATTTACCGCCTGCATGTTCCAGTCATCCTGGCCAGCAGACAAGCCTCTGTTTTTCATTGGGGCTTGGCATGGCATTTCTCATTCTCACAAGCACGAGTGCTGGAAGGTGGTAACCGTGTTTCTGGTATTTTTGAGTGGCCCTACTTTTGTGCTGCTCAATGACTGACTGTATACTCTTACTCTTTTCCGGGATGTGGGTTTGGTGCACCTCTATGGCCAAGTGCCTTTGCTGTTAGCAGCCCTTGTGATGGAGGACTTTTGGGCTTGCTTGCATTTGGTTTCTGTTGTGCGGTTTCTAGCCCTCGTAACCTTACCTTGAGGTTACCTTGAGGTGCTTCCGGGGCTTAGCGTCCCCGTGGCCCGGTCGTCAACCAGGCCTCCTGGTTGCTGGACTGATTAACCAGGCTGTTGGACGCGGCTGCTCGCAGCCTGACGTATGAGTCACAGCCTGGTTGATCAGGTATAGATCTCGTAAAGCTCCACTCTTAAGTGCATCCTTGAGGATGTTCAGGCGCTCGGTTCTGGGCCTGGTAAATTTGCTTCAGTGTCTGCTGTGGCATCACTTACAGCTTTGCCCATGCTGTAGGGGCCTGTGCTTATGTCAATCAAGTCTTTCAATGGGCCACAGAAAATAAAATGATGTTTACTGAGGACAAGTTCCAATTATTGTGCAACAGAAAAAAATAAAACATCAAAGCAGAAACAACATATAAAACAGTCAAATTACACTCTTGAATGAAAAAGTAATATAAAGGGTTTAGGAGTAATCATGTCAGAAGACCTTACTCTTAAAGAACACAACAAAGTTGCTGTCACAAGTGACAGGTTGGAAAAATCACAGGTTGGATAACAAGAACCTTCCAAACAAGAGATGCAATACCAATGATGATATTTTTTAAAACATTAGTGCTCTCTAGAGTTGAATATTGTTGCACACTAAGGACCCCATTCAAAACTGGGGAAATTGCTGACCTGGAGAGCATGCAAAGATCTTTTACCACTTGAATCCACTCAATAAAACATCAAAATTATTAGAACTGCCAAAAATATTAAATTTGTATTCCCTAGAGCACAGGTGGGAGAGATACATAATAATTTACATTTGGAAAATATTAGAAGGACTGGTTCCAAATCTGCACACAGAAATAACTTCACATGAGACCAGAAAGTATGGCAGGGTATGCAAAACAGCCACACTGAAAAGCAGAAGTGAAATAGGCATGCCGAGAGAGAACTCGATCGACATCAATGGCCCAAAACTTTTCAACACTCTGCCCAGAGACCAGGCCCCGGAAAAGTTGATCCATGGAATCATCAACAGGTAGTCAACAGAACTAGCTAGTGTGTTATTGCTGTTGGTCGAGATAAGTGTGAGGTGGAGCCGGTCTCTGGGTCATACGTGACTTTTGTGTCTGGTTTGCCCTTTACTGGTCAGCGCAGTGCTCAAGTTTCACGAAGGGCTTCTACTTCTCGTTTTTTATTTTTTTTATTTATACATACAAGCATTCTGACATTCTTGTAAAGTTACTAGTACACACAGCATTTTGGGAAAGTCCTTAATGTTAAGTTTCCCTGGAATACGACCTGCCAAATCAATTAATAACCAAACCAGGTACCCGTTCATTGCTTGGTGAACAGAGGTATATAGTTAAGGATTAGTGCCTATAGTTAATCTTCCTCGGGCAGGATACGAGCCAAGCTCAAATTACTCGCGAAGCATGGGGTGAGTATCTTACCACTGCACCATGGGGACTACTATCCATGAGTTCACTTCGGTTCTTTGACATGGCACTGAGAAGGAAAAGGGGGTGGGGGCTACTTGATTTGTTTGCCAGCTTCTGATCCCATGATTTGTGTTTTTTTTTGGTCGTTTCGAGCAGCCTGCAGTGGAATTGGTCTGTACCTAACCCCCTTTCTGGGGATTGTGACTTTCAATGCAGGTTTCTTCCCTCAGCTGAGTCGAGTCATTTCAGAGTGGGTTGCTTCTGGAATGGTCAAAATGACCACGTTTCTTCAGTAGGTGTCCCATCTCTTCCCGGTTGTGAAAGAGGACTTGCCGAAGCTCCAGTTCATCCTCGGATCTCGTGCAATTGACCTGCATCATCCCTTGCCTTACATTCCAGATAACCACTTTGCCCCATGTTTGCCTTGCATCAGAGGCACGTTCCTGGATGATATTCCTGGACCATCGGGATGTGTACTGTCATGCCCTCATTCACCTGAGATTCAGGGATTGGTTAGGTGTCACTGTGGGGGCATCAAGCTTACTGCTCTCAGGTTCTTTCCTTTGACTTGAATCTGACTCGCAGCATTTTCACCAGGTTGACCCAAGTCATGGTGACTTTGTTTTTTGTTAGTTGTGGGTTTGTGCTCTGAACCTACCTCGACGACTGGCTGGTGTGGACCTCCACTCACCCTACATGTCTGTCAGTTGGAAATTGATTCTTTCCCCTGCTTGCTTGGTTCAGGTTCCCTGGTGAAATGGTGAAGTCCCAGCTGGTGCTGTCCCAGGTTCGGACTTGGCTGGGCCTCATGTGAGATTCTTGGTCAGCGTCACTTTGCTTTCCTCTGGCAGCTTTGCTTTTGGCTGCAGTATTGCCACCTGCTGGTGTTGAGGTGGCTAACCTGGGTGACTCAGCAGTTTCTAAAGAGGTTGTGTGGTAGCCTGAACTTTGCCTGTGTTGTTTCCTTGCTGGGCCGTGTGGCTTGGGGGCTGTTCTGGTTTCTCCAGTTCTGCCCCTTTTGTTGCCATCGTGACCACTGGGTATGGGCCATGTTTGCCCTTTGCCAGCTGCTGCATCACTGTTTTCTCTTTGGGCTTTTTGAGTTTCGGTTCCCTGGCACCTGCCTCCCTCCTCGCTCACTGTCCTTATGGATGCCTCGGCTATAGGTTGGGGCTTCGTGACCAGCACTCACCAAGCTGCTCAGGGTTGTTGGTTGCCTCCTTTTCATAGGCACACAGTATAGTGAGGGAGTTTGCAGCCATGTGGCACACCATATAGTGGATTCAGATTCCTCAAATGATGAAATACATTTATGACCCATGATGAACACATAAAATAAAAATAAAAAATAAAATGTTTATTTAGGTAAGGTACATACATACAAGAAATTTTTACAAAGATTGGTTGACTTATAGGTAGAGCTAGTACATACAATGCCTAAAGCCACTATTACGCAAAGCGTTTCGGGCATGAAAAACTTAAATGACAAGCTTAATACTAATTGAGCATAAAGAGTAGAATGAAAACAAGAAATGAAAACATAGCTGAAAAAGCAGCCCAAATACAATTATGTCGACAAACAGCGCTCTTTTAAAAAAAACAGACATTGGTTGACAATAGAAGGGTAAGGTAGGTTACAGGGAATTTATTAGGTATAGCTTCGTTTTTATCTTAAACTGGTTGAGAGAGGTACAGTCTTTAACATGGTTGGGAAGGTCAACATCACACTGCTTATGGTAAAAAAAATTAAAACAAGGTAAATGAAACATGCGAGAAGGAAAGTAGGCTTTGTGGGTACCAAGGTGGTCGGAAGAGGGCAGATAGATTATATGGTCATGCAGTGGTATAATTACTAGGGAGATGATATGTAGGCTTTACTACTACTTGTGGCTGCAGAATCAATCTTTTAGCTCTTGGATCCTGCCTTTCTAACCAATCTATTTTTCCTCTATTATGTCCACTACATATATTTCTTTCTAACACACACGTGCACACACATCTCCTAGATGCAGCCTGTAGCAGCTGTCTAATTCCCCAGTACCTGTATCTATTTACTGCTAGGTGAAAGAAACTCTGCCCATTTGTTTCTGCCTCAGCCAGGAATCGAACCTGGGCCCTTAGGACTTCGACCCCCCCCCCAACCCTGTCCACTCAGCTGCAAGGCCCCCCCCCCCCCTGTTTGGGTATGGCAGTTGTAAAAGTGCAGTGGTGGCCTAAGGAGGGTCAGTAGGCTGCGTGGGCAGTGATGTCGGTGCCTGAGTTATGAGAGGTGGTGTGACAGTGGTCATAAAGAAACCCACATATTTTGTGAATGCATCTTCATTAATGCCAATTTGAAACTTCAAAAATTGCTGTTATATCTGGGCTGCCGTTGCAGTAAACGAGTGGATACTCATGATTAGCATTTAGTTAAGTGCCAGATAAGAGCTTTTACTTGATGTGTGACTATATATACTATACTTTGTATACTGGGATAGAAATTATCAGCATTTTTTTTTGTAGGGCACCCTGTTGCAAATGGTGGGAGACTAATAGTGAACTCAAGTTAAAATAAATTGAATCTGCTGTAGTGTAAATTGTAGAGTAAATTATTCAGTCATAAAAATCATGCATTGTAGTATGACTGATAACTTTGTCTTCCTTTTTGTCTACAATACCATAGTGTGTGTTGAGTTACCAGATCATTTCCTTGTTTGTGACTGTTGAGTAACTGCCAGTTTCTTTTCTTATGGTCAGTATGCGTGTTATTTTTATAACATTTTATAGTATGTACTTGTTGATGAAGTTTAATGTCATTGCTCATTCTAGATCTCGCTGTGATAGATAAAATTTTGTCTTCTGTCCAATAATGTAGAATCTTAGTTATGTAACATAATCTTTACTATGTAACTTTTGTCATAGAATATTTTATATAATAGCTTGCCTT